CATATACTAACTGATTTTAGGAATTCATTAATTCTTATATATATATGTATATTTCGATTGTTGTGTGTAGGTTGGCAATGAACACAGCAACTCGTCAAGTACTGAGGATGAGCTCAACGTTGTTAGAAATATAGATGCCAGGCAACTCTCATGTAAAGACGTCCTGATGCAAATTCTTTTTGTGGCACTACCAATGTTTATAGTTTATTTCTTTAAACAGTCGGAGATTCAATCTTGATGCTAACTAGCGCCTTTGCTGATGTTCGTTGTTTTCTATGAAAATCGGAGGGGAATCCATGTTTTCTTCCTTGATTAATAGACAAGAATCTGTTTTGCAACAAGAGTTTTTTATGCCTTTAGGTGTATGTATGAAATGTTGTACTCTTCTTTTGCAGTTCAATAAATGTCCTGAGGAGCTTTTGACTATAGAAAGTCTTCAAGATAGTTCACAAGTGCACTCTCGTAACCTTTTGTTTTCTTTTTGTTAGTCGGAACATTATAATGCCATCGTTACTGTATTTCAATTAATTAACCAAGGAAAAAAAAGGGATTACATTTCTAGTATAATAATAATAATAAAAAAAAAAAGAGTATCCAGAAATAAGATAAGCCACCCATACTTCTCAAGTTCGTGGCAAACAAGTCGGGCGGTTCACAAGCCGCTTGCGAGCGCTCGAGTCGAGACAAGCCGCTTGCGAGCGCTCGAGTTAATGCTCAACTCGAGCTCGGTAAAACTTGAGCTCGAGCAGTTCTATCAAGCAAACGAGTCAAGCGTCGAGGATCATTTCAAGAGGCTCCTAAGCTCCACGAGCTTGTCGACTTTTTATTGACATATATACCTCTATATAGTTTAATTATCATATTAGAATAAGGCCAAAATTGTCTATTTAGATTATAAGTAGTACATTTATATTTAAAATTTAGTTGTTAAAATTTCGAGCCGAACTCGAGCCATGTCGAGCATCGAGTCATTCTTATTTTTTTTCAAGAGTCGAGTTGAACCCCATTTTACATGACTGGTCGAGCTACCAAAAAAAGTCCGATCTGCGCTCGACAAGATCCATGCTCGACTGGACTCGACTCGTTTGCAGCCCTGCTTACACTTGATCTACCCAAGATTCATCCATCCTCGAAACCTCTCCATAAACATCCATCTTCATCTCTCCAATCAACAAATTCAATCTCCCGTAAATCTCACGGCACCTGGGGTGCGCCTTATCCCCTGCAAGAAACATGTGCACTTCCGACTGCAGCTCGACCCAACTGCACCCAGGCTCCTTCTTCATCCCCCCATGCCTCATCACTCTCCTCATCTCCGAAACCCGGCCCCACATCCCTGCATCCGCATACACATTCAATAGAAGCACGCAAGCCGACGAGTCTTGTGGGTCGAGCTCTAGAAGGGCACTCGTCGCCTTCTCGGCTACCTCCACATTCCCGTGCATTCTACACGTGCTCAAAAGCGTCCTCCAAATCACATCATCGGCTTCCAAAGGCATTTCTCGAATCATCTTTAGCGCATCCGCCACACGGCCCGACCTCCCTAGAATGTCCACCATGGACGAGTAGTGCTCGAGTTGAGGCTCTAACTTGTGCTCGTTTTTCATAAGGGAGAAGTAACCGAGCGCCTCGTCAACAAGCCCGATGTGCCCGCACGCCCGAAGGACGGCCACGAAAGTCGCGTGGTTCGGGGCTATTCCCTCGAGCTTCATTCTCTCGAAGGTGCTCAAAGCTTCTCGACCAAGCCCATGATAAGCGTACGCGCATGCCATGGCATTCCACGTCACAAAGTCGCGTTTGGACGATTTCTCGAAAACCAAGGTCGAGTCTTGCAAGTCTCCGCACTTGGAGTACATGTCGACAAGAGTGCTCGCGATGTACACGTCGGATTGCAGTTCTTGCTTGATTATCTGCGCGTGTATCTGCCTCCCGAGCCCGACGTTCGCCACGTTGGAACACGTGTCGAGGATCGTGGCGTACGTGAAGCTATCGGGCCTAAGGCCCGTCTCCATCATGCTCGAGAATAACTTCTGGGCCCGCTCGCTTTGTTCAGCCGACGAGAGGCCCGAGATTATCGCGTTCCAAGAAACTAGGGTTTGGTCCTCCATTTTCCCGTGAAGCTTCTCAGCCGCCTCGTCCACCATCCCGCACTTGCAATACATATCGGCTAGCACGCTCCCGACGAACGAGTCCTTTCCCAATCCAGATTTAATTACTCGTCCGTGAACTTCCTTCCCATGACCCAAAGCTCGTTCCCCCGCACAAGCTTTTAACACGCTCCCGAACGTGAACTCGTCCGGCTCCATCCTCAATCGGAGCATGGAAACAAATAGCGACAAGGTCTCGTCGTTTTTGTTCTGTTCACAAGCTGCAATGACAGAATTCCAAGACACGGCATCTCTTACTTCCATCTCGTCAAACACTTGACGGGCTTCCTGTAAAGATCCACATTTACCGTACGCATCCAAAATGGCATTTGCAACGCAAATACTGTGTAAAAACGGAGTCTTGGCAGCTAAACTGTGCAATTGAGTTCCTTCTAACCGTCCTCTGATTACTGCACACGCACTGAATGCGCCTGAGAGACTTATTTCGTCAAAACCAAGACCGGACCTCAATAAACGTATAAACAACTCGAAACCTTCGAACCCACGATTACTTCTGGCGTAACCTGTGATTAACGCGTTATGAGACTGCAAATTGTAATCCGGCAAAAAGTCGAACACTTTCCGAGCATTAACTAAACTGTCGCACTTCGCGTACATGTCCAGCATGGCAGTCCCCACAATGGTGTCGGACCCGAAATCGCTCTTCAGTGCATGGCTGTGCAATTGACAGCCCAACGCTAAATCCGATAAACTCGCGCAAGACCTAAAAACACTCGCATATATAGACTGGCTGACCCCAATTCCTTCCCTCTGCATCTCTTTAAACAGTTGCAAGCCACTCATATGCTCGTCGTTTTGAATGCAGCCGGCGATTATCGCGCTCCAAGAAACCCAATTTCTCACTGGCATTGATTGAAAAAAGCATAGAGACTCGTCCAAATTCTTGCATTTTGCGTACATATCCAAAATCGCACTACCCGTCACCACATCATCCTCGAATCCCGATTTGACCACAACACAGTGCACTTGAGACCCCAAACAGCAGTTTTCTAAACCCGAACAGGCTTTCAGAACAACGGCAAAAGTGGTCTCGTCATAAGCCAAACCTTCATTCCCCATCTCCATGAATATCTCGACTGGCCTTAAACAATTCCCTTTATGCAAGTAACCAGAGATCAGAGAGTTCCACGAAATCACATCCCTCTCGGGCATCGATCTGAAAATTGACTGGGCCATATCCATTTTCCCACTGACTACATACCCAGAAATCAGAGAGTTCCACGAGACAACGTCCCGTTGGGACATTTTATCGAACACTTTACTAGCGGTATCCAAACGGGAGCATCTTATGTACATCTTCAACAAACAGTTGGCAACGAAGACCGTGGGTTGGAAGCCCGACGCTATCATCCGGGCGTGGGCCTGCCGGCCCGGTTCGAGGGACCGCTCTCTGGAGCATTCTTGGAACGAGTGGGAAAACGTCTTCTTATAAAATGGGTTCGGCGGATTTTTTGGTGCGAATGTGGAAAGTGAGCGGATGAATGAATGAGGTTTGACGAGACGTCTGGTTGAGGAATGAGAAGCCGTCGCCATTGCCGCCGGCTTTTGAATTCATGCTTGGCGGGTGATGTTTTCGCCGTCGACTGGAGGTGAGCTTGAGCTGCAGTAATTATTTTTGTGCAAGATTTAATACTAACAAAAAATTGGTTACATTATTTTTCCTTTTTTAATAATATAAATAACTTAGTGTTGTTTTTATGCTTTTATCCATTATCAATAAATCGAGTGACTCGCAAGTGCTGAGTCAAATTTGGTTTAAGCTCGAGCACTTTGAATTTGATTTTGAATCGTACTCAAGCATGTTTATTATAAGTTTAAGTGCTTGACCAGTTGCTCGAGTGTACAATAGTTTATTTAAATATACTCCTATAACGAGTTAAAATCGAGCCAAACTCGAGAAAACTTTTAATCTGAATACAAATTTTTTATTGAAAATTAAAGCCGAAATTTAGTGAAATTCAAGTTGATGAAATTATTAGTCGAGCTTGTGCTGATCTGAAGCATTTGTATATTTTTGTCGGGTCGAACAAAATCTAAGAGTCAAGATCGAGCTCAAGCAACTGTGGAAAAATCAAGCCTAGTTCGATAATATCAATGCTCATTTCTTCTAGTTTGCAGCCTATCCACAATGTCGTGAAAATATAATTTTCTGTATTCATTTTTTCAAATAAATAATAATAATAATAATAATAATAATAATAATAATAATAATGCAAGTTTGTACATGACCTAAAATGGAAAGGGACATGACCAAATCAAATAACTGGAAAACAATATTTAAGCAACCTGGCAACATTAAGCAGCCAAGCAATTTGTTTCGTGCAAGTAATAATTCTGAAATCTTATATATTAGACAACATCAACTTGTAAATTATTTGGCTCGTATTCTCTGGTCACAACTGTATACTGATAATATTTGTACAACAAAAGATAATAGTAATACCAACAAAAACAAAAAGAGCGCTAATCCAAGTGTTACTTATTGCACCTTTTCAAAACCAAACCTATATATATATATAATCATAGGCAAATTAGTTAATGAAAATACACCTTTTTTCACTCTCACTTTCACAGCTTACTTTAGAACCGAACAGTTACATTTTGTATTAATCAGTTAATTAATTATATTTTTTTTTATTAGTTTTATTATGCTATAACTACTACTAACTAATTATAAAATCATGCTAAATTAATTAATCGTATTTTTTTATTAGTTTTATTACGCTATAACTACTCCTAACTAATTATAAAATCATGCTAAATGATATATGAAATTATATACCTACAAACAAAATTCTACTGCAACTTTTTTCATACTAGTTACTTAAAATTATTATTATCCTTTTTAATTCATTTTTATGCCATGACCAAATCCCTTCAAATTTCATACATAATTATTATAGTAATAATTTTAATAGTTTTCATATAATTATAAGTCATAATCAATCAAGAATGCAAAAATCACATTATTTCAATCAGTATAGCGATTCATATATAAATTAAATAGTTTATATTTATCTTGTTAATTTTACTAATGATAAAATTTATAAAATATAGCTTATTATCTAACTTATGATTTTAAATATTATATATACATATAATTTATAAAATTTTGTTTGCCTTTGTATATTTACATTTACATAGGATGAGTACCAGTAGGTGTAAAATGCTAATTAGATAATTAAATGTTTTAATTTTAAAATGGAGACCGGGAAATTCCAATGCCCAACACGGTAATTAGCAAGCGAACCATTTTTCAGTAATAATAAAATGAAAAGAAAATGAAGAAGACTATTTCAGTGAAGAGTCAAAATAGTTAAATGAATGCATTATTTGCAACACCTTTAAAGCTTTATTTTAGATTTTATGACTTTATTGTTTTAATTTAGACATTTTAATAGTTTTAATAGTCTCAATATATTTATTTGATGTCTTACAAAGTTTTTAAGAATTTGTATTTAGATTATTGTAGGTTTGTGATTTGACTGAAATTATTAATATTTATTTGAATTCCAAAAACAAAATATATATATATAAGAAATCTTTATATCACAAAAGATGTTATAAAAATCATAATAAATATATTCAAATTCAAAATTCTACCTTCACGATTTCTTACGATTTTTCTAAAATATCAAAATTAAGCTGAATTCTTAAAAAAAAAAAATATCACTCACATATCAAATCTGTACATACATAAGACTACGGCTATGTTTGGTAAAACTAGCTGATAATCTAGCTGATAGCTGATAAGCTAGCTTATAGCTTATCAATAATTTTTTAGCTTATAACTTATAGCTTATGAAGCTAGCTTATATGATAAAAATGTTTGATAAAATTAGCTGATAAGCTAGCTGGAATAAAAAATTGAACTAGCTTATTTGAAAAGCTATCTAAAGAAGCTTATCAAATAAGCTCGAGCTTTTTAAAAAAGTTCGTCCTACCAAACGAGGCTTATTTGAATACAGAAAGCTTATAAACTCATCAAATAAGCTATAAGCTAGCTTATTTGACTTACCAAACACAGCACAAAGTATTTGTGAAGCTTTTATGTTGAGACCTGACTATTCATAAACACAATTGTCTAAATGTAATAATTCCATTCGTCTTCTTTTTAAAATATAACGTTCTCTAAGAAAAATAAAATAAAATATAACATTTTCTAAAGAAAAATAAGCATATTAAAAAAAAAAGGGTATGAATTATTTACAAATTACAATTAGAGAAGACTTCAAAGAAAAGAGAGAAAAACAAAGGGAAAAAGAAAAGACATAAAAATTCAGAACTCAAAGTACTTTCTTTATTACAAAAAATAAACAATAAAATTAAACTCGCATTAAAAAAAAAAAAAACACCACTTTTTTCCGCTGCGAAATTCTCCAATGGCGGAGGTCACTAATCTCCACCGCCAACATCGCCCACCGTCGGCCGGAAGTCTCATTTCATCCACCGTAGCGCCGCCGCCTGAGGACGATCCGCCACCGCATGAAGAAGACTTCTACCACCAGATCAGCTCCTTCGCGTTCGAATTCGATCCGTTCTCCCCTCCCAACGATCCTTCGAACCCCTCCTTCTTCGACGATTACGCGGAGCCGTTGGATCTAGGCTTCGATATGAACGCGGAGCTCGACAACCCGGGCTGCGAGTACGAGGATCCCAATTGCTTCTTCTTCGGAGGCGAAGAGGACGAGGAGCAGATGAATTTCGTCACCGATCTGTTCGAGCCTCGGCGCCAGTCGCTCGCGGCGGAGGATCTGAATTGGGACATCGACGCTGGCCGGGCGGAGGAATCTGACGATGAGCTCGGGTTTGGGCCGTTTGTTGGTCTGGGTATGGGTCTCCGGGTCGCGGGCATTGATTCGGAGTCCGATTCCGAGGTAAACCTAGGGCTTGTTGACAACGAAGAAGATGCTTATGATGCTTTTTCTGTTTTTAACAATAATTATCTTGCCGGCGAGAATGAGAGGGAGGAATCTGAATGGGAGGAGGTGAGTGAAAGGATTCACTTCGATGAGAGGGACAACTTGAATCTGGTGATCAATGGAATCGAGGAAATATCTGTTGCCTCAGATATTTCTTCTTCGGATCGTGAGTATTCCAGTGTAGGGGACATTGACGAGGGAACAGGGGAGCAGCGTAGGAACCTCGAATGGGAAGTTTTACTGCCTGTGAATAATTTGGAGGGCACTCTTGAATTTGAGTACTCAGATATAGTCGCCAATGTCCGTAATGAAGTCTTATCGCGCGTAAATCTTCCAGAAGATTACATTTTCACCATGGAATACGATGCGGTTTTTGGGCAACTGGCGGAGAATGAGAGTGCTGTGAAGGGCAGTCCACCAGCTGCAAAGTCCTTTGTCGAGAATCTGCCTTCGGTTGTTTTGACAAAGGAGGAGATTGGGGAGAATGACAATAATGGTGTGGCGTGTGCAGTTTGTAAGGATGAATTTGTGGCTGATGAAAAGGGAACTAAGCTACCTTGCTGCCATTTGTATCATGGGGACTGCATTGTGCCGTGGCTCAAGATTAGGAACACATGCCCAGTTTGTAGGTACGAGTTGCCTACGGATGATGCGGATTACGAGAGGAGGAGAAGGAGTGAGAGAGTTGGTGATGGAGATAGTGCTGGCTTGCTGATGATTTTGAGGTAAAAAAGTTTGAGCCTTTTGACTTGAAATGGTGTTTCGGTTATGAGGTTATGTTACTTTTAGACTANGGTTGGTTTGTGTAAATCTGTTTTGTGTTTGCGCTGTTGAGAGGTTGCAAGCTATCGTGTGAATATAAACATTGCTAGTTACACGGTTCGTCAGTGAATATGCTGGCGAACCCTTATGAAGTCGAGCTGGAGTTGGAAGCTTGATGTTTTGAGCCTTCGTGGTGTGTTTTGGGTACTCTTGTTGTGATAATGTTGGTGTTCAGCTTATATGGAGATTAAGGGATAGAATTGATAAAATCCCTTTTATAGAATTTGGTGGTGCTTGAGCAGTATAGGGAAGTGGAGTAGGAGTAGAGTAAAAGACGGTATGCAGATATTTGGGTCGAGTTTAGGCCCCTACACAATAGTTGGAAGATAATGGGTGAGTAGATGATCTGAGTAGATGATCTATGATAATTTCTACTTGTGGGTAAACAGCAGGAATAAGTTGAAGTCCTGCTTTTTTATTTGTATTACAGACCTTGCATTCGAATGTGTCCTATAGAGTATAGAATAGTTTAATCAAATCTGATGTTGTTGTATCCTTTTGAACCAAATAGAGAGATTGTGAATCTTGTGATTTGTGTACATGTTATATTGTCTTTTTTTGTGTCATGTGTTCTAGCAGTATCAATAACGAAGTATCCTATTTTTGTTTTGTTCCTTCATAGGCATTAATTCATCGCGATTGTCGATTATGTGATGGGCATTCCTCTTCTTGTATCTGTTTTAGCACTCAATTCCTAATTGGTTACTTGAGCTGCAGTGCAATGTTTGCAATGCAATGCATTCAGGTTTGACCCATTCACAAAATGTTTCTGCTAATAGTTGCATAAATATGAGATGTTCCTGCCAAAGGACCTAATTTTTGCGAAGATGTAAGTTTTCAATATGAGATGTTATATACTTTAACTAATAAAGTAAACAAAAGTATGCCATTTTTAAACTATAAAGGGGATGAGGACATACTAGTCATTGCACATTTGTATCTCTTCAGCAATCAAATTACCAAATGTGTGGGTAGTGTGGTAATTTCCTATTATAATATGAACCAAATGGGTGGGATTTGGGAAGTGTAGTAATTTTTTAATAGTTGAAGTATTGTTTAACAAACACTTCTTTTTTTTATTTTTTATTTTTTGCAACACTTAATGGACCAAATGTGTGAGTAGAAGTAGTATTGGGTTAACAAACACTTACTAATGGACCAAATGTGTGAGTAGTGTGGTATTTCCTATTATAGAGTAGAAGTAATAGTTAACAAACGGCATGTGGTAATTTCCTATTCTAAAGCTAATTAAAGTATTAAACAATGAAATTCACACACCTTGCTTGTATTAATATAGTTAGTTTCATTTCTAAAGCAAAAGATCCGTCATTATGCCATTCGCATTTATTCAACACCCTTTTTGGTGCTATTACGATATTTTTTTAGAGGTTGGGACTGAAGATTATTAATTGGATCATTGTGGAATTGAATCGTGAATGATTGAGGGAAATGGTGATGATAATAATGAAAAACATAAACAATAGATTTAATAGATTCACAAACAAAGAGCTAATTCTTGATTATAAGGTGATGGTGCATATTCATTCTTAATTGGTGGAGCAAGTAAGAATGAGACAAGCCCATATCTACCTTTTATCTAATGAAAGTTATCATGAATCATCACGGTAATGAGACAAAGCCCATATCTACCTTTTATCTAATGAATTAAGCTATGTTGATATAATATAGTGGCATAATAATGAGGTGAATGTATAATGGTTGTTGATTTTAAAATTAATGTGATATATAAAATAATAAGATGGTGAATGTATAATGGTTGTTAATTTTAAAGTTAATGTGATGTATAAAATAATAAGATTGTGACTCGCGTTATTTATCCCTTCCAAAAGTCGGGGTTTATTGCACTCAACGCGAAGTAGATTCCAGCCATGCCTCTAGCGGGCCTTGATGAATGCGGGCTCCAGGCATGGGCCTATGGGCTCCTTATTTGATCCGTCTTGAAACACCAACGAAGAAGTTCGACATGTGAGTCAACGGGCAAGCAAATAGGGTCTCAAACCTTGAAATTCGAATATGAAACTGGAATTAAAGTATTTGGCGTCTTCTTCCTTTTTGTTCTTTCAATTTTGTTGTGTATTTATATGGTTAAGAAATAGCGATGAACACTAGACCTTGTGACCAATTTCTTTTGAAATGATGCTATTAAAATATTAGACAAATTCAGTTGTAGTTTCTTTTGAAATGATGCTATTAGAATATTAGAAGCTGCTTGTATGAATTTCAGATTTCTGACTGTTAAAAATTATTTTAAATAATTTTATTAGATAGTAGACCTTGTGACCAATTTCTTTTGAAATGATGCTATTAAAATATTCGACAAATTCAAATGAGTTGTGAAACTGATGCTTGTATGAATTTCAGATTTATGACAATTAAAATTATTTTAAGTACGTTTTATTAGATAGTAAATTTAAATAGTTGGTCGGATTTGAATGGTGAAATGATCAAAGGACGTATAACCGAGTTTTTATTGGTTGAATTACACACAATCACAAACTGGGCGGATCTTCACTCATCTTGGGGAGACAATTATCTCTACAATATTTTTGTTTCTTCATTATTAGGTATATATAAATATAATTTATTTATATTAACCTTGAGCATTAAAAGTAGAATTAGAGCTTGACAATTGAACATTACTACACAAAAAGGGAGAATCAATTAATGAAAAACGTTCACACATATTCATCCAGCACTCATTCTATTGGACTAGTCATCTTCTAATTTATTTTAATTACAATTAAGTTTTGTAAGTCCTCTATATGCACTCCTGTATATGATTTAGATTTATTTTAATTTATACTTTTTGCTGTCACAAAAAACAAAGAAGTTTTTTATTTTTTTTTCTCTCTAAAAATGTGTAATATAAAAAAGAAGAAAAAAAAAAAACAATTTTCGTTATTTTCTTGAGTGGAAAATGATTTTATTCTGTTCTTGTCAAGAAAAAATTTATGGATGAACCAAAAACTGCGATGATTATAATGTCCGGTATGAAACAAGAGCGTGCTAAGTGAACAGTACCATAACCCCAGTAAACACCATAACAATAATATGTCCTAATAAAAGGGTGCATATCACCTTGCCTTTCACAAGCTATTCTATGTTAGGCATTTTATTTGTTTAGTTAGTCCCTAGACTTTGCAATTTTCAACATGGTTATCATAAGAATATATTTCATGTTCCCCCAATTTTGTCCTTTCTTAAATTTTGTATATTATATTGCAATATATTCCCCCAATTTTGTCCTTTCTTATATTGTGTAGATCATTTATATCTTGCAAAAAATGCAGGTGGTTTAGGGTAGGTACCAAAAAACAAACAATCATCCAAACTTTAAGGGGGCATTGGATATAAATTATGTTGAAAAGAATTAATTCAATGGAAAAAATGGTGGAAAATATGGAGAAAATTAGGTGGAATGAATTATCTTTTGAGTTTGTGAAAGGAAATAAGATAGAATTAAAATTGATTAAGATCCACTGTGTGCTACAAGTAAGCTCAAAATTAAAAAAAAAAAAAATTAATAAAACTGATTACAATCCAAATTCTAGGGATAACTTTCAAGACACAAGGTATTCCAATATTATTTTCTCTGCTGAATTTTTTAATGGAGTTCAACGAAAATTTTCTGTTGGAACGAGTTTTCTGTCGAAAATTTCATTAGGTTTTTTATGATTCCCACGCAAATTTTTACAAGGTTTAAAAATTTAAACGGAAATTCTTATATTAATGAACACTTTGAAAAATGGTCTTTAGAATCATCAAATTTCAACTAAAATTTCAATAAAAAACTCATTTCATGCATTCGGATTATTAAAAATAATCTATTATTTTACATAAATTATTTCATCGTTAATGTTTATAATTTATAAATCGTCAACGGTGTCAACTTCCAGGCTGTTGATAACTAAGATCAAAGGCGTCATAATATCTCGACACGTGTTGACGCAAACAGCGCCAAAACAGTATGTACAAAAGCATTGCGTCTACTTTTTAAATAGCAGCTGGTGACATATAAAGTCATACAAAATGTTTTGTTAACACCAGTTTTAGTGAAGAGCAACAAAAAAAACAAAAAACAAAAAAAAAAGGAAAAACCCTTTTTTCTACTAATAACTAAACAGTTTTTTTCATAAAATCAATCCACAATTTATAGTGGATCAATAACTTATTGCACCGTCTAACATAAAAACAGAGCACCTTGTACACAATCAATCTTCATATATCATATTGCACTAAAAATGGCATATTTAATGTATTTATTAATAGTATATTATTGGGAAATGAGGGTGANCCTACCTTGCGAATATTAAGACACACAAAACCGAGCAGGATCCCCATATCAAGTAACCTTGAGTCAAAGACCAAGTCCAAGAGTGATAAGATATGAAAAGTCGAACACCAACTTTGAAGACCCGAGCTTAGCACACTAAATCGGCAAAATAAAATTAAAATAATAACCACCTGCAACCAAATAATGAGGATGGGATCGTCCACCTATATATATATATATATATATATATATATATATATATATATATATGTATGTATATATATGCTTGCCTACGTGCTATAGCCTCATAAAATCACATGTCGCATTAATGCATGTCTTTTCCATTTAATGCTTGATGTACTACTCGATGAACAGTAGTCGGATCCTCCTTACTACAAATAGTCGTAGGAATCATTTGTAAAAGAGATTAGAAAAATCTCCCAACTCAAGACATATATTCTCTCAATAAATATTTCATATGAGCATCCGAGCTCATAGTATCGAACTCCAACCTCGTATTTCAGCATTTTTCACATATTACTTCGAATTAAAACAGACTAAATCATCATAACACTAATTGTGTATAATTAGTTGATCAAATCCGTTTGTCAAC